CGAATTCGTGTAGTATTTGATGGCATTCTTCCACTTTATCGGCGAATATCTTGATTGGCATCAAAGCTGCAGCCATTGCAGGCCATTGTCCGCCCAAACCCGGGAACAGTACCCATAGAGGTCTTGAGGTTTTCTCAGTGAACATAGAGTACTGTTTTTTATACTCGTATTTAATTTCATTATTTTCTTCAATTAATTTCTTTATTATAACAGAGCCTAGAAATATAGTAAATTAAATAAGCTTCGTTTCGGTCCTGGCCAATTACATTCATTAATTTTCAAGGCATATAATATTTATCATAATTGTGTTAACATTACAGGCTTTATAATAAAAATTATACTTTTCATATTTAAACAAAGCTCATAGTATGAGCATAGCATTCAATACAATTGTTTGTAGATATAAAATACAGTATTAATCTTAAATCACTATTGCATTTATTAATTAACCATTGATTATCTAATTACCTCTATATGGAAAACCGGCTGAATTAACACTGGGCTCCACACGCATAGTGTCTGTCAAAAGAGCCAAAAATTCTCGACTAATCTTTTGCGGATTAGTTTGTATAAAATCCATCATATATTTGATGCCCTCTTCAGTGCGCGCGCAGACATTGATAATACGGGGCACTGTCTCTGCGATGCGAAATGTACCATCATCATTTACTTTGTGATTGCACTCAATCAACACGTGACCATTTAGGCCACCGATGCCGAAGTTGTTGATGCCAGCGATGCCTGTTGTGGTGACAATAGAATAGTCTTAGCCACTAATCTAAAAAGTTTGTAAGCCATTGTGAATGAGTGCACTAACCGGGAGTATAGGGCAGTTTCTCGGTGTTGGGATAGAGTGGCGGACAGTACTGTTTGCACTCGTCTTTAATCTGTTTGAGGTTCAGATTGGGAGGAATGCACTCGTTTTCAAAGGCGATCAACACTTTAATGATGGCCGCGATTCCCGAACAGCCCTCTGTGTGGCCGATATTGCTCTTCAACAAACCCAATGGCAGGGGCTCTGTCCGGCCCGGGAGTGCACAGTAGGCGTTGTATATCGCCTTCACTTCTTGCGGATCACCCGCCTATTCATTGCATTCATGTATCAATAAATTACATTTAATTGTGTCATTCAATTAATGTCAATTAGATTAATTTAGATAGAGTTACCCTGGTGCCGGTGCAATGTGCCTCGATCAGGTTGACTTTAAGAGGATCAACGCCGGCCTCCTTATAGGCCATAACCATCAGATCCTGTTGCGATTCGGAGGCGGGGAAGAACATGCCTTTGGTCTTCTTGCCGTCGATGTTGAGCCGTGACGCGAGTGCCGTGGCGTACACTCGTCGCGCCCGCTGTCTGTGTGTGAGCAGAAGACAGGCCACGCCATCGGCCTTCACGAAGCCGTCCGCGTTTTGGTCCAATACGGCCGACACTCCGCGCGGCGAACATAGACTCACTTCTTGACCGATTTGGTTGAGGAACGGCTCGAACGTCATGTGAGTGCCGCCCACTATAGCGTACTCCACGTTCCCTGTGTGAGTTTAGTGCCATGGGCAATTGTATTATTAACACATGCTCGTCACATTTATATGGTTAGCAATTAAATATGTTTAGCGCACTCCTCTACACTACATATTGATATTTATAGTAGAGGTGAACGCATTTTTATGGTTTAACTGTTTTTTACTGTACAGTTTTTTTACAGTTTGCATTCATATTATGTTTAACTTTACCGAGAGTACAATGTATTCAAATTGTTAAGTTATTACGGTAATTACTTAATGTTTACATTTGCAAATTATAGCCAGAACTCGCTAGCTGCAAAAATTTACAAAATTACAACATTTGATGACAATTGTAACACTTAATATAGAAACTGAAATTTAATAATTATGGCAAAAATAAAGGATCAACATTTGGGTTGATTAATGAGTACTTCCTAAATAATACTCGCATTTTAAATAACTTTATATTTCTAATACACTATATCTCTGAGAGTTAACAAGTATTTTTTATTGATGAATTTATTCAAACCCAATTATGTTGCAATTTACATTCTGGTAAATTATAGAATTACGAGTAAATTAATTATATATTTTTAGCATGTTGTATATTGTTTTTAATTTAATTATTATTTTGATAATTCATAAGATATTCAACTAATTTTAAATGGTTTTAACTTAAAGATGAAATGACCATATTATTGATACATTTCTTATTGTCATTATAATAGTTTTAGATTTATATCAAGATGGAATAGGGAATATAGGGTTAGTGTATTGAATAATGAATGCATTTATATTACCAAGTTTAAGATCATTGATGGCCAGATTGAAAGCGGCCAAACTGGCGGAACAGGCGGTGTCGACCACCATTGAAGGGCCCTTGAAGTCAAACACATAGGACACACGGTTGGCCTGCAGTCCCTTTTGATTGCCCATTGTTTGCAATAATGTCTGCTGTTTGTTAGATCTCAGGTCTGGCTGTAGTTCCTCGGGATAGCCCTCAATGCAGGCATATATCGAGACACCGATATATACACCCGTTCTCGTGCCCCGTAATGATTGAGGATTTATACCTATTTTTAATCACCAATTTATTTTTTAATATAAAATATGCGTAATTATAATAATTTAATATTAATTAAATCTCTATCTCTCTCCCTCTCACTCTTATTTTATTTTATGACAATATTTTTAAACTAAACAATTATATACCGGAGTCAACGATAGCCTCGTAAGTAGTTTCCAATAATATGCGAGACTGGGGGTCGATCTCATCCACCAGTTGTTGCATAAGACCAAAGAAAAATCCATCAAATTTGTCCACATTTCTCACTTTTCCCATTCGCGGACAAATGCCATATAAATCTATTTTAAGCATAAATAATAGTTAAGTTTAGTGTTTAATTAATTTAACTTAAGTGATAAAAGTGAAAAAAAAGTTTTAAATACTATTACAGATTATCTAAATTTATTTTATTTTATTTATAATAAAAATAATATTAACAATTGTAGAACAGAGTGAGTATTGAATGAACACAAACCTAATGGCCAGCGGCTATCGTCTTCTGAAACCATATCTATGCCATCGAACAGATTCTTCGCGAACTCATCGATATTGTCGGACATCGGGAACCGACCACTCATTCCCGTGATTACTATATCTTTATCGGCGGACATATTCTCACAGATTTATATCAATTATAAATATAACTGAAAGCAAAATTGATAATATATTTAATAAACCAAATTTAAATTGCTATTGCAGATAGATATTTTTTTAATTGAAGCAAATTATTTAATGTAGAATATGTCGACTGATTTTTGAGTTTTCTTAATTATAAATATTAAATTATATAGGAATGGGCAAATAGCCCAGTTTATGATATAGTTTATAATACGGTTTTCCCAATTTAAGCTGTAATCATAAAGTAGTGAATTTTATGGCGAAACTTTTACTTTTCAACAGTTTTGTGAGAGAAAAAAATTAGTGGAATTCATTTAAATATCAGAGAATTAAAACTTATTTGATATTTATATAAGTAGTGAAAGATTTGGCGCACAAAAAAAGCGACGACAGCTTAAAGCATTTGTATTTGTTTTTATCGATAAATAAGTCATAAATATTATAAACACATAATAAGGAGAACACAATTTGAATTCATATTTAAAGATTA